CTCTGGAAAGCATGCTTTCCCACATAAAACAATGGTGTTAGGAATGCTAGGAAGAAGAATCAGGGCATAAAACACCATGATAAGCAGAATCTAAGGCTTCCCTAAGACTTACACCCCTGGTATTAGTCCCATAAATATGTTTTTTATTTGATACATGGGTGAAGAGGTGTCCAGGCAGACCTACTCTAATCACTCAAGGCCTCAAAGAGGAAAGGAAACAGAAGTCAGAGAGATTAGGGGCATAGGAGGATTCTAAGCACTGCTGATGTGAAGTTGGAAGTGATTGGAAGTCAAGGTGTGTGTGTGGCTTCCAAAGATGACAGCAACCTCATGTGAAAGGCAAAAGGAAACAGGGACCTCAGTTGTCCAACAACAACGAAAATACAATTCTACAAACAACAGGAATGAGCAATGAGATTAAACACACACACACACACACACACACACACACACACACACACACACACATCAACACTTTTGATACTGGCCTTCTGAGATGCCAAGAACAGAATCAGCTATGCTGTCAGTTCTCCCTCCCCAGCTCATAAATGTGAGAACAGAGGCCCAGTTAACTCACAGGTGCTGTTTTTACTCCCTCAGTTTGTAGCAAGCGATTACACATAAAAGAAAACCATCACACATGTGGCATATAGAATTGGTTCATAATTATATATATATTAAAAACTCACTGGCACAAGCAAGTCATTATAACATTTTCTCAAGTTTTGCTATTTAAATGACACTTGACAAGCAGAGCTGGAAGTTACCCTATAAATTTCTATAGGCACAGAGATTTATTTTTAGTTTCCTATAACGGTTCATGACACATTCTCAACTTCCATTCACCTCTCTGGACCCATGCTCCATATGAGGCACTCCGCTGTGCCAAGAGGCTGACTGTATAGGGTCGGCTCCTTATCCTCAGCAAGGAGGCCAAGGGAGGACTAGCCAGAGGCTTACGGGTGAAGCACAGTGAAGGCTAAATACTCTGCAGTGTTCAGGAGAAACGATCTCTAACTCAGGAATGTGTGGAAGCACCGGAAGGAGGGGCCACAGATCACATCGACGCCCTCCAATTCATATGCTGAACTCCCACTGGCCAACAAAAGTACGGTTAAAATTAAAGCTTCCAGGGGGTGATTAAGGATCAATGAGGTCATACAGAAAGGATCCTAATCTGATGGGATTGGAAACCGTATACAATACATGGCTAACCCTCTATCGTGTGTGTGTGTGTGTGTGTGTGTGTGTGTGTGTGTGTGTGTGTGCATATGCACACATACACTGGCCATGGGAGGGCATAATGAGAAAGTGACTGCCTACGAACTCAGAAAGCAGACCCTTGGCAGACTTTACAGCTTTCACAATGGCTGGAGAAACACATTTGTACTTACTCCGCTGAATCTGCTTTTGTTATAGCAGCTGGAGCTATTAGTTAAATACAGTGGCAATAGAGGTAGAGCATAATCTAAGAATTTCTGTTTCTAGAGCCGGGAAGTAGTATCTTTCCAGGCATGGATATATGCGGTAAGAAATTCAGAGAATCCGGGGAAATAACATGGAACAAGTAGTTGGGAGTCCATGATGCTTAGAGTGAAGGTGGAAAGAGCTGGATAAACAAGTGGAGGCCAGATGCTGAGGCCTGCCAACAAAGGCTAAAGCCAAAGAATGTGATGAAAGGAATAGAGGAATAGGCCCAGAGTGTACAGAGGGATTTTTCTTTTCTTCTTCTTCTTCTTTTTTTTTTTTTTTTTGGTTTTTCTTTTGCTTATTTTTATTTTTGCATAGCATTTTCTTTATTTCTTTTTTTATATTCTAAACCCAGTTCCCCTCCATCCTTTCCTCCCACTCCCTCTACCTCCCCCCTCCTCCCATCTGCTCCACAGAGAATGTAAAACCTCCCCTAGGAAGTCTACCAAGTGGGTCCCATCATCTTGTGGAGGCAGGACCAAGGCACCTCTCCACCCCTACATCCTTGTATCTAGGCTGGGCATGGTAACTCTCCACATAGAATGGGCTCTACTAAGTCAGTTTGTGCATTAGAGTTAGATCTTGGACCCACTGCCAGTGGCCTCATATATTGTTCCAGTCGCACCATTGTCACCTATATTAAGGGAGTCTAGTTCGGTCTTGTGCAGGTTCCCCATTTGTCAGACCTGAGTCAGTGATCTCTCACTAGCTCGGGTCAACTGATTTCTGTGGGTTTCCCCATCATGGTCTTGGCTCCTTTGTTCATACTATCGATCCGCCCTCACTTTGATTGTACTCCAGGAGCTTGGCCCATTGGTTAGTTGTGGATTTCTGCATCTGCTTCCATCTGTTTCTAGAAGAGGGTTCGAGCTTCTCTGGGTGCACAGAGGGTTCTTAAGCAGTTAAGAAGCCCACAATAGTACCTCTGAAACCATTGTCAACATACCAGTCTGTGGCTGTGGGGGTAGGGGGTGTGCCTGCACTGGTAAAGGGGTACAGACTCTGAATCCTAGATGTCAAGGTTGACTATGAAGATGGAGGTGATTAAGGGACCCCATGACTCTGGTCTGCAGATGGCATCTTAGTTTGCACTTAGGGCCACTGGTCTAGAATATGTTATTATGAGTATACCAAAAGGGGGCTGGAGGGATGGCTCAGTGGTTAAGAGCAATTGCTGCTTTTCCAGAGGGCAAAGGTCTTGTTGCCAGCTTCTGCTTGTCTGGAACCTCAGTTCCAGAGATCTTACACCTCTTCTAGCTTTTGAAGGGACCAGCCACACATGTGGTATGAAAACACTCATGCAGGTAAAATACCCATACCCATAAAATAAGTAAGTAAATAAAATCAATAAATAAAACTTCGAAAATACTTCTAAAAAATACTGAAAACTAGCTGCACCCAGAGGTCAATGTCATTTGATCTGGTTTTCCAGTTATGGAAGTTGGGGAATGATGAGGAATCCTTTGGAGAAATGTGCCTGGACCCCCGCCATGAGGATGACATCATTACTAAGAAATATCATCTGGAGGAACCATGTAAGCACCAGCTGGGTTGCAGGCCAACCTAGAATATTTATGACGCTTGGACTCTAAGACTCTGGCCAGTTTATCAAAGCAGCCTGAGTGATAAAACTAAAGAAAGAGCAGGTTTTCGTGCCATGAAGGTTTGCTCTTGCCTGGCCAGTATTTTAACAATTTGAAATCATCAGATGATAGTGATCTGCAGGAGAGAAGAGCAAGTGATGCAGAGCAATTAGTTACTCAAAATGAACCTGATTTACATAAACAGAAATATCTCTTGGGAATGAGCTTTAAAAATCCCATGAGCAGTTTATGGGATTGCCTAAGTGAAAGCATTAGTTTAAGCTTGAAATCACTGTGTCCAGCAGGGGGCGATGTGCCCCGCTACAAGGTCAACTGTAGACGCAAAGAAAAGCAATGGCAATAAGGTGAAATGGTCACCCTGGTGTCTTTAGGTTCCTTCCTCATCCATGGGTTCAATAAACAGGAAGTGAAAAACAAACACCTGTTGTTCTTCCTCAAACAATACATTTAATGTGTATTAAATACTGTAAGAAATCTGAAAAAGTGTATGACTAGAACCCAAGCAAACACCAGAGTTTTACGATGAGACCAGAGCATGTATGATTCTGTCTTTTTAGAAATACCAGGAGATAGCTTCTAATACTGACAAATTATTTTCTGTTCAATATATTAGTTTTGTATTTCTCTACAGGCATGACCACTATTAAACTCTGGAATTTACAAACTCAATGGAAAATTCTAAGCTCTCTGAAAATAAGCAACAAAAATAAAGAACTGAATCTCTGGAAATACTGAAGTTTCTGTTGCTATCACTTTTTAGGACATTTTTGTCTATTACCTACGGCTTATTAAGTATGCAAGCTTTAAAGGAGACAAATATGCAAAATTTTATTATATCTCTCTTCAGTTTACACTGTATACATGCAGCCATAAAGGATACTGATTTTTTTTTTTATTCTAGTGTTCTACGGTAATATAAAGCATGGAAGTAGTCATTAAATGAAGTTCAAAATGGACTGGGTCTACAGCTCAGAGGAATAAGGTTTGCCTTGCATACATGAGGCTGTGGGCTCAATCCTCAGTATTTTTAAAAAAATAAATAAATAAAACCTGCCACAGGGCAACCATTATCCACCCTAGAACTGATTTTTAGTTTTCTTGACAACATTATGCAGACTCGAACTCCTAGGAGGCCTGTAGAAGAACTTTGATGTTCTTTGAAAGAGCAGGTTTCATTTTTTTTTAGATTTACAGGCTACAAAAAAGATCGACTGGAAGTAACAGTTTTGATCCATGACTTCTGTCCTTCAGATACATGCACATCATCTAAAACTTGGCAACAAGTGACTTCTTTCAAAAGTTTCAAGATCCTGAAAGTTTCTCCCTAACAAATTTACCCCTGAGAGAAGGTTTTATTTATTTCTTTATTTACTTAGTTTTTTTTTTTTAATTTTTTTCTTGAGACAGGGTTTCTCTGTGTAACATCTCTGGCTGTCCTGGAACTCATTTTGTAGACCAGGCTGGCCTGGAACTCACTGGTATCCGCCTGCCTCTGCCTCCTGAGTGCTGGGATTAAAGGCATGCACCACCACCGCCCTGCATGCCATTCAACTTAGAGCCACTTCCTGACAAGTGGGGCTTGACAGGAAATGTACACTGGGTGCCCCCTGCAAAGGTGACACGAGCCTTTAGGAGTTAACTGTGAGTAACAAGATAATCAGCAGTCCTCGGGGATTCCACACACCTCTCTGCCACTCAGAAAGGGCATGTTCAGTATTGGGAAGAGGTGGGCAAGAAATCTGAAAGCAAATAAATCAAGCAACTCTATGTACAGTTGTTATTGTCCAACCCACTCTGTCACACTTCATGATATGAATGGAGAACCTGCCATTAAGCGGCTGCTCAAGGACTTGTCAGAGAGAGCAAGCACACTGTCCACTGTCCAAGAGGATAAAACGCTAACATACTACCGTTTCAAGAGCTCACCTCCAGAAGTGTAGTTCGAACCCTTCACAGTTCTCTTTGCATTTTAGACAGGGGGCTCCAAATCCTTGTTCATGACCTAAGCCCATCTGTTAAGGGGGAGAAAAAAAAAAAGGAATCTTTTATTATGAATTCTAAGAAATTTGAAAAATTCAATAAACCACACTTTTAATTCCACTTGACACTCTTGTTGATATAACTCTCAAACAAATCTTTTATGAGCTGCACAGTGTTTAGCCAACAAAGGCACCAGGTATGTAAATGGAAGCTGCAAACCCACACATAGCATATTTTATATTCTTGTTGCTTTTATCATGAAAGGCAAAAAAGCAAGTACAGCTTTACAGAAGACTACAAACACTGAAATTCGCAAAATTCATTAATTTATTGTCTTTTCCCATTGTGTGCATGGGTTACCTCAAGTACATGGAGAAGGCAAAGGGCAGAGACTGGAAAGCAAACAAATGAGTGAAAGAGTTTAGGAATTACAATTAAAATATTGTTTTATATTATAAAATACAATCAAAGAAGCTATAGATATTTATTGAATACCTGAAACAGTATTCAATTATTCTTACTATTTAATTAAAATCTTACAGAAACTTATAAAACACTTACAAAGCAGGCCCCATGACCCTTCCTTCCTCCCTCCCTCCCTCCCTCCCACCCTCCCTCCC